ACCACCGTGCCCATTGTCACCGCCGTCACCGGTGCCTCCACGGCGACCGATGCCTCCATTGCGACGTCCCTGCCGACGCCCATTTCCGTGTCCTCCACGGCGATCGCCCACCAAAACGCCGGAAGTCCTACCGCCGGCCTCGAGCCTAGCGCCACTTACACCACTATACGCATTAGGGAGAGCAGCGTCGAACGAATCACCTCTAGTCCTATTCCTTAGTCCGAATACGCCGCGTCGAAATTACGCCCCCGTCGACGGAAGAGAGGATAAACAAGGATCCTTCGATCCTCTCTCCCTTTTCCACTAACCACCCCTATCTATCTCTATACGTACTATATATTATTAGTCCTCTCTCTTTCTCTATTCGTATATTATACTGCTAAGCCAGATCGAATCGCGCCCAATTTCCAACGGGACTTTTCGACCTTTGAAACGCGCGCTTTGCTTTCTTTCACCGATCGTGTTTCATCCCAACAGTGTATCATTCTTTCTCTTTATAGATGTACATTCGTACTTTCGCTCGTTTATCTACGTATATACCTACTTATTTATTGTGCGACTCGAATCTTCCAAGATCGACACGAATAGATTCGCCGAGTCTAACATACACCAAAGAGTTTCGAGTTTGATTCGAGAAACGGAACGTTAGTAACCCTATTGTTTTAATTCGTATCTCCGTATGGAGAAAGTACGGACGGCATTTATCGTAAAATGTTATTCCACTCTAGTCGTCGACGGGAAACCTATATTAAAGATGCCTGTCTTATATTTTACACCCTAGTCATTTGGTACACATGCGTACGTGTATGTGTACGCTCGTTAAGTATATGTTGATATTGCATATAAAAGAAAAGGAGGAGAAAAGGTGGAAAGAGGGAGTAGGAGGTATGGAGAAGAAGAGGAAGAGGAAGAGGAAGAAGGAGAAGAAGAACGAGAACGAGAACGAGAACGAGAGAGATCCCGTGCGTAATCACACTGAACACCTATGTTAACGTTTTTTGTAACCAAAGACATGCAGTGAAAACGAAAAGAAAAGAAACGAAAAGGCAAATTATTTTATCTAGTCAAATCAGTTCGGTACTTAATAGCGTGTAAGGAGGAATGTGCATCTTTCTTCGTGCGGTGGTCAGCCGCGATTAGACAATGTTCGCGACATCCTGAACGGTGGATCAACGAATTGTCAGACTGAACAGAAACGTTCGATCGTTTTCGTTATTTCTTTAGCTAAATCTTTTTGACTGATCATTTCTAGACAATTCGCCTCGACGAAAGCTTCACGATCGGCTTAACGATAGTTTCTACCTTTTATTCTCTATTGTTCCGATCGATCTGGACATTTTTCTTGTTTTCTTCGAAACGCCGCGAAAGATCGTAGAAACTTCCTCGAGGTATCACACGCGGAATGCGTACGAACCGCGTCAAACAAATATCCAATTGTTGATCGGATGCAGAACCTTGTACTAAAAACGAAAAGAAAAAACAAAAAGGAAACGTGCCATTTTCTTCGTTCTATCTATTTTTTAAGTGGAACACGATGAATTATTCTTGCTCCACGCTTTGCAGCCAACCTGTTCACAGCCGTGTTTGACAGTGATTGGCATTCGCGTTGCTCATTCGTTCGTCTCGGAGGCTCGTGCGTTGCTCCCAGATTAGAATTTGGCCATACCATGTACGTTGATGATATTAAACATACTCATGTACTACTTTAGTTATACGTATAGGATACGAAGCTTGCCGAAATCATGTACACGTACGTGGCGCTGGTTCGGCTATCTGTGTAATATATAGATACATATGTATGTACGTAGAATTTTTTCTCCGTTTACACGTCTCTATCTCGATACGGACACAAAAGATAGCGCTTTTATTCTATGTTACTTTTTACATTACGTCTCCTTTGTTCAATTTGTTATGCTTATTATTTGTTTGTTTGTTTTTTTTTCTTTTATTAAATTTAATTTAAGTTTCATCTGTGTACAACGTTATAACGTAAGTTTTATTCGAAAGAACTTTTACAAGTCGGGAGGG